TGGCAGGTGGGATCCCATCCCTGAAACTGCTACCACCAAATGGGGGGAGAGTGGGTGGTGAGGGGCAGGAACTCTACTGTTCCTGGGAGAAATGTGTGAGGCTGGGCCAGTCTTCCAAACACAACCACTCCCAGCTCCCCCTCATCATGCCGTGCAATGTCAGGGACTTAGGGTCACACAGACTCTGTTTTTGAGACTTTAAGGTAAACCTCTGGTCATTAGTGGATAAACTGAGGTCGAGACAGAGGAAAAGCTCAGCCAGGTCATCCAGCTTCAAGTCACAGGTGGAAACTCCAGGTGTGAGGCTCCTAACCTCGTAATATTTTAAGCCCATCTGAGTCCCCCATGGGCATCGTCATACAGGGTGGTAACCTTGTCTGCAGCCCAGGAACCAGTGGACACCGTGTGTGTGAGGCAGCCCACACCCACCCCAATGTTGACTCTCTGCCATCCCTCAAGGCAGGAAGAAACTGGGGACCTCCCAATTCACAGGGTCATCTTGAAGTACCCAAGGAGTGGAGAAGCTTTGGAGATCCATCCTCACTGGTCCTAGACTGGCATGCTATGAGAGTGATGAAGGTGAGACTGCAGGAAGAACTGGCCAGGAATAGGAAAAGCTTTGGGTATTTGTCAAAGAATGAGGGAATCAGGAAATGGACAAACAGCAAGAGGCATGGAAGTTAGACTACAGGAAGGACCAGACAGGTCTATATGAAGAGGGTGGAGGCTAGATTGCAGAAAGGATGTCAAACCTCTACAGCAAAGGACACAGGCTAGACTGCAAGAAGGACTGGCTTCAAAATCCCAGAAACAAGGCAGAGGAGAGAAAGGGGAGATGCTCTGCCTGCTGGAGAACTGGAGAGCACTAAGCTGAAGAAGGAAGAGGAGTTGGGGGCTCCAGGTATTTGGGGGATCCCCTAAATCTCCCTCAACCAGGGGCGGAGATAAAAGAGGAGTGTTCACAGGCTCCCAGGGAAAACAAGAGAAAGAGAAGCAGAGATAAGATACCCAGAGAGGAGGACACTAGTGCGAGAAATAGGCAGGGAAGAGAGAGAAGACAGGAGCAGAGATGGGAGGAGGCAGAGACAGAGGGAGACACACACAGAGATAGTGGAAGAGGGGGACTGAGAGAAACCGAGGACTACACACAGAAGAGAGACAAAGATGAGACAACAGAGATGGAGACAAGGAAAGATGCTCGGACTCCTCAAGAGACCCCAGAGAGCTGTGGAGACAGAAAGATGAGACCCAGACACAGGAAGGCGGGGGCGGAGGAGGAGAACGCAAGGGCGGGGGGCTGCCCCAGACAGGGTGGGGGTGGGGTGCTCTCACCCCCACTTTGGCTCCCAGAAGGCACCCCTTCCCCAGCTCCCCAGCCTTCCTGGAGCGCAGGAGGGGTTGAGGGAGTTAGGGACTGCAAGTGGCGCCCCCACCCACTGAGGGGTACTGGTACCTGCACCTGGGATATGCAGTCCCCCCAAAACAAGATCGGGAGAAAGCAGCTCCCTGATCGTCAAACCCTTCCACCCAGCCGCCTGGGGTAACACCGTTCTTCTCCCACAAACCCCCCAGAAAAAAACTGGGGATCTCTTACCTGCGGCTACAGTCTGGAGCAGGTCCCTCCAGGACTGGACTGCCAGTGGTGGGCGACTCCGCCCGAGAAAGAGAGAGAAAGAGAGAGATACAGGCTGGAGACTGAGAGGGAGAGCTGAGGAGGGAGAGGGGATGGAGGGAGGAGGAGAGGGGAGGGACACGGGGGAGGGGGAGTGGGGGAGAGGAGGAGGGGCGGGAGACAGGAGGGAGGAGGAGCAGGAGAGGGAGGGGAGGAGGCGGAGGAGGAGGGGAAAGGGGCTGTGAGGGAGGAGGAGGGAGGAGGAGGAGGGAGGCGGGGGAGGCTTGGGGAGGGGCCTAGAGAGGGGAGGGGAGGGAAGAGCAGGAGGGGAAGGGAGGGTGCCGAACTTCCTACCCACCCTGCAGGCAGGTTCAGCACCAGAAGCCAGGGACAGCGGCGGCGGGCGAGCATATGTGTGTGTGTGAGTGTGTGAGAGATCCATATGAGGGGCCAAAACATGCAAAAAAAAAACAGCCACAAATAGTTACAGGCTCACAGAACTGGGACGAGGGGAGAGACTGTTCAGCCGGAATCAGATGCAAATCCACACACTGTGCCTGCAGACAGAACCTCACCCAGAAAGTCAGAAACATCCACAAAGGCACCCATGAATAATAATAATGACTGACACCCTTGCAGCCCTTACCACATGGTGCCAAGCGTTGTTACAGAAATTTTTGCACGTGCTTGGGGGGAACCCTCACAACCACCCCCATGAAGTAGATGCTATTATTAACCTCAGTTTACAGATAGGGAAACTGAGGCACAGAGAGGCAAAGTGACTTGCCCCACGTGGCAGAAGCGGGATTTGAACCCAGGTAGTGTGGCTTCCGGGATCTCCATCCCTTAACTACCTCCCTCAGGCTACACAGTGTCCCAGGCGAAAAACCAGAAAGCCTGAGTTCCTGAAGATGCAAATTTCAGTTCTGAAATGGTCACATTCTTCCTCACCTCTCCAGGATGGACATACATCATACAGTCATACATACCACAATCACTGACCACCCCCACCCCCAAATCCACCCCCAGGACCCACGCCCAGCCAGGACTATTCCCTCTGAAACAAGAACTTCCGAATAGCCCCAACTGTCAGGTGGGCGGGCCGGGCCGGCCGTGGGTGGGAGGGAGGAGGCTGTACTTGTACCAGTGGCCCCGCCCACTGTCAGCCCTGGCTTGTACACTCCCGGGCCTGCTGCCAGGTGAGGAGAGTGCCGATCCAGCTCCCAGAGACTTACCACGCCTGGGCCTGGTTCTGGGCAGGGAGGGGGAGAGGGACGAAGACCAGCTGCCCAAGCAGAGGTGGGCTCCTCTCCTAAAGCCCTCTGTGGTTTGGTCTTTTATTGTGTGAGTAGTTAAACTTACGTATAGACTTCTTATGCCAGGAGGCAGAGGGATGGCTGGAATGATTGGGGTGCCTGTCCTTTCCCACATCCCAAGAATTCCCACCCACCTCTGCCCCCAAGAAGGAGGGAGCCCGGCTTCCGCCGCTCAGGAATTCCTCCCCAACCCTCCTGACCTGGATTCTATTCCTGGCCTGCAGTGGGGGAGGGCTAGACTTCTCCCATTATTCCTGCCCTCCACTGGTGGCAGAGATGAAAGTCTCTACTCTTCCCCCTGGTGTCATGCAAGGGCCACGGGGCTGGACTACCTACAGCCACAGGCATAAGAATTCACCCTTGTCTCTCACTCCCTGGTCCCCCATTACTAGGCACTTCAGTTTAGGTGGAAACTTGGACCTTTCCCGTATAGTTCTTCCTGAATTCTGTCTACCTGGGTCTGATCTCAGTACTTCTTGGTGGGCTTTCAACTCAATTTATACTGGGGTCTACCCTTGGCTCTGTCCACTGGGGTCTAATGCCTGGCCCTTTGCATAAGGTTTAACTCCACTGATTTTTGCTGGTGTCCAACCTCAGCATTATTCTTAAGAGTCTAGCCTAAGACTACTGCCATAGGACCCCAGCGTCTCCACAGCAATCTTTTCCATGCGGGTCTTTTCCCGAGTGTGGGTTCTTCACTTTCCACTGGGGTCTAATTTCAGTCCTCTCCACTGGGGATGCCTTCAATCTGCCCTGAGGGGCCTAATGTCAGACTTCTCCACTGGGGTCAAACCTCAGGTACATATCTTTCCACTAGGGTCTAACTTCAGTCTTCCCTGCAGGGGTCTAACCTTTGACCCCCTCCTATTCACCAGGATCTAAACTTCTCCACCAGGGTTTAACCTCAGACATCTTCTCTCCAATGGGGTCTAACCTCAGACCCTGTCTACCAGGATCTAGACCTTATACCCCTCTTTTCCACCAGGGTCTAACCTCAGACCCTTCCTGTCCACCAAGGTCTAGACCTCAAAGCCCTCTTCTCCACCTTTCTGCTAGGGTCCAACTTCATTTACTTTCTCTGAGGCCTATGCTAAGATCTAACCTTAGCCCTGTTTTGGGGTCTGTGATAGTTAGCTTTCCTGTCCACTTGGCTGGACCCGAATTCTCAGTGGTTTAGATTCTTTCTATGATGAGATCTAATATGATGTAATCACCCCATGATGTAATCAGATGGGATCAGCTCTGCTCTGATGTAATTATCCTCTGTGTTGTGAATCTTCACTTCTATGATGTTAATGAGGCCAGATGCTATCTACAGGAGTCAAAGTCTTTTGAGATATTAAAGAGATGAAGAAAGTAAGTAGAGCTCAGAGGGGACAGCTACCACCAAGAGAGAAGAGCCCAGGAGTGGATGCATCTTTTAGAACTGGAGTCCATTAGATCCAGAAGAAAATCAGCATCCAGATGCATGGAGATCTCCAAGGACTGCTGGGCCTGCAGAGGCTGAAAGGAGACAAGGACCTTTGTCCAGAGCCGACAAAGAGAGAATGCCTTCCCCTAGAGCGGGTACTCCGAATCTGGGCTTCGAGTCTCCTGAACGGTGAGAGACTACAGTCCTGCTTGTTAACCTGTCCACTTGTGGTATTTCTGTTACAGTAGCACCAGAGAACTAAGACAGGACCTAACTGTATTCCCTTTCCCCAAACCCTCCTCCTTCAGTTCTGGGCATATCCAGCCTCGAGGACAGAACCTGACAACAGTAGACACTCAACAAATGCTTGCTGAACAAAAGACTGAAGACAACCATGAAAACTTTGTTTCTCTGGAAATACACATCATCAGTTGGTCAATTCTCAGCACAAGTGAAGGGTGGTTGGCTGAGAGCCACCCTGTGTTCAAATGGGGAAACTGAGTCACAGGGTGAGGCAGTGGTTCAGCCAGGGTCAGGAACCAAACAGGAACACAGAGGGAGGGGTGCTGGGGAGAGAGTCTACTCCTTTTCATCAATGCTGAGAGGTGAGCACCCCAGAGAACAGCTGTCCTGGCCCAGGGAGGACCCGGGTGAGGGGTGCTCAGGAGGCTGGGGTCTCCAGACCCTGTTGCTGCTGACGTCTTTTCTGCTCCACTTGGTGTCGGAGTCGGCGCAGGGCTAGCTCTGAGGCCTGGACTAGGCTGTGCTGTGGGGAACAAGATGAGGAGAGCAGGGCTGAAGCCGGAGCTGGGGGCTCAGCCACAGTGGCAGCCGACAGCTGGAGTGGGGAGAAATGAATCTTTTAAGGGATGACAGTTACGTGACACCACAGTGGAGGGGGCGAATGCAGAAGCCTGAAATTACCTCATAATGCAGGTGAGGGTGACCACTGGAGAGACACTGAGGTTAGACCACGGTGGAAGACACAAAAGGTGAGATCAATAGAACAAAGGAGCAAAATAACGTGGAAAAGGGGATAAAGGTTTGACCCTACTGAGGGTCTAAGGTTAAACCCTAACCAGAGATCTGAGGAAACCACAGTGAAACGGCTTCACACTGACCCTGAAGAATGGTGAATAGATGACAATGAAGGGGAAATCTTTTCCCCCAGTCTGACCACAGGCTCTTCATCTGCAGTCTAATCTCAATGCTCCTGATTGAAATCTAACTGTGTCCTTTCCATGAGGGTCTAGCCTCAGATCCTCTCCACTCCAGTCTAACCTATTCTTTCCATGAGGGTCTAACCTCACACCTCTCTCTCCACTAGGGTCTAATCCATGTCCTTCCATTAAGGTCGAACCTTAGATTTCTCCTCTTCACTTGGGTCTAATCTCAGACCTCTTCTCTGCACCTGGGCCTAGTCTCAAATCTTCTCTATTCCACTGGGGTCTAACCTCAGACCTCTCTACTGGATCTACCCTTGGTCCTATCTAATGTGGTCCAACCGTCATCTTTTTTACTAAGGTCTAACCTAGACCACTCTATTAAGGAACTGTTGTTATTGTTAAGTCAGTTCCGACTCGTAGTGACCTTGTATAAGGTTTCCGAGGAGCAGCTGGTGACCCTGCAGTCTAGTGCATTAACCCATGGCGCTACTACTGGACTCCTATTAAGGAGTGGACTATAGGAAATGTCCAAGCAAAGACTGCAGGGTAAGCAGTAAAAGTTAGATCGCATCCAAAAGGATCCTGGAGTCAGACCCGAGGGAGGGAGAAAGCAAACACTACATGTCGAGACAGATACACCACAGCTTGAAGGGTGGGGGTTGGACCATAGTGAAAAAGGGCTAGAGGCTAGGCTTTAACAGAAGGGTAGATGGTTACATTGCAAAAATGGAAGGCTCAAGGTTGGACTTCAATAGAATAGGCTGGTTATCAAATCCTAATAAGAATAAGGCAGTTAAAAAACAAAAAAACTAATTAAAAAACATAAAAAAAATAATAAGGCAGTAATGTTATTGAGGGAAGGCTAGATGTCAGAGTATAGCAAGAGGCTGAAAATTAGACTATGGTTGAAGGATCAGTGCAAATCGAAAGTTTACAGTTTATACTAAAGTGGAAGGGTCAAGGTTAGAGAGTATCAGACAGTTAGAAACAGGCTGTGGGTAGGACTCCCCTTGCTTCAAGAGTCCGTGGTACCATCCATACTCCAGATCTCCCTTTGGGATCAGGTTGAGGCTAGGTGTGGCATTGTAGGATAAGCACTGGCTGCTTCCTGCAGCTCCTAGGAAACCCTCTATAGGGTCACTATGAGTTGGAACCAACTTGATGGCACTTAACAACAACAGACCCTTAAAGAGCCCACACCCTTGTTTGACATTTCCCCCTTCTCAGCCTGCCTGCCCTAATAAAGTGGGAGCACAGGAAACCCCCCTGTGAGGTTCTGCCTCCCAGGACCCCAGCCAGAGACCATGGGTCACCTGCAGAATATGCACGCCCTTCAGGGAGACCACAGCCAGCTCCCGAAGCCCATCCCCGGTCAGGTCCACATGTGCCATGGCCAACAGCGGGCTGGAGAAACTCCGTTGCCACAACAGGTGGAATCCATGGTCGGCCTCGGGAAGGCCGGACTCTGGGGCCCAGTACTTGTAACAGAGCAGCTCCTGCAGGGGATGATGTGTTAGAGTCACCCAGGGTAGGGATAGGTGGGGGCTGCCCCGTTCCTCAGGTCCCACCTGTCCATAGGTGGCCACTAGGACTTCCAGTCGCCCATCGAAATCCACGTCGGTGACCAGGCCACAGAGGATGCTGTCAAACTGGTCACTGCCTGGGAGGAGAAGCTGGTCCTCAAGACCTCGATGCAGCAGGTCCCTGACTCATAGCAGGAAAACTGAGTCAGACTACAGTGTCCACCATCTACCCGTTTGAACCGGTTCAGTCATGGTGACACAGTGAAATGAAAACAGACTCAAATTTGTAAAATGTGGTTGCAGCAGATTGGTAACTGGAATGGGGAAAATTACAGGTCAAAGGCCTGGAACGGGAGACTCAGAAGAGGCGGAGTGAGCAGTTTAACAGCCTGATGTGGGAGACTGGAAGATTAAGAGGACTGTGGAATGCGGCATACACTCAAAAGTCATGTGGTCAGTCGGCTGCCATCTTGGAGTTGGGCACTATTGTTTCCAACTCTGCCCATCAAGACATTTGGTTGCTATGTAACTCACACCCCACCCTGCTTTCTAGGAGGGAGATTATGTTTCTAGCAGGGCAGTGACCCATAGTTTTCCTAATTCCAGTTAGCCACATTTTATAAATTCAGGTTTGTTCCGGTTTTGCTTCACTGGCCATGACTGAACCAAGACAAAGTGGTTGGAAGCCCTGCATTCTTGTCCTCTGATCTGTGAACCCCTAATGCTGCCCTTCTCACAACTAGACACATTGCTCCTACTGAGGCAGGAAAGCTCACTTTCAATTTGGACATCTTTATAGTTCCACCAAGGGGTCAACCTGGTCTCTCAAACTGCTCACCTCAGGGTGCTGACCCACAAGTTCCCAATAAGGGGGCACTCAGAGGTGTATCCAAGGTGTAGCAGGTACAGCATGTGCCTTGTGTGTCTCCCAGCACCACTGAGCAGTACAGCCCAATGTCCTTCCTCAAGTGTGGTAAGGGAGAGAAACTCAAAGGGGGTTGGTTGTCCCTTGCCCCTGGGTGCAAGTCTAAGAAGGCACCAGACAGGGCCTGGAATGACATTCTGAAAAACCACAAATATACCAGGTGCCTGACTGAGACAGCTGGATAAGAGTGGGTGTGGTGTTTCTGTAGAGACATCATGTCACCACCATCAATGTCTTATTTGGGGGGAGGGACACCTAAAGAGACTGGCCCTTGGTGTTTGAATTGAGGGGTCCATAATTACCCTCCCTACATTCCTGTGTGTGCCCATATCTCCCTCTGGAGACGGAATGATCTCACTATCAAATGGAAACCCATGCTCTACTTTCTGGGGATCTAGCCACCACTGTCCCCAGTCTGGACACCCACACTGTTCCCATGAAGCCTGGAGAGCTTGGGCCCAACTTAGGCATCTTTACTGCCCACCACTGAGAGGCTGAGCTGGTTTGGACTGGTCATGAGAGCCAGCTGTGAAATTTTTGGAACATTTGCAAGTCGGTTGATAATATGCTGGTGGCTTAGGATCCACCCTGGTGGGTGTATTTACACAAGGGTAATTGACAAACAATACAGATCAGGGTTTGGGCCCCCCACAGAGTCAGGTCTCAAGGATCTGCCAGCACACTTTCTTGTTACCCACTGAGGGGATCTGGACAACTGTTCCTATACCAACACCTCAGCAGATTCCCTACACCCACACCCTGGCACGTCAACAACCCTAAAGAGCCCCACTCATTAGGGTTAAACCATAGTAAAGCCATGAAGTTATTAGATTGTGCCCACGTGCCCCATACCCTCTCACCGATACACAACAGCAGGCTCCAACATGCTGGTCACGAGCACACTGTATTCTTCCCTATTGGGGCTTTCCTTGGTCTCTGGAGAAGAAACATGAATAGAGGAGGGCGTGAGAGACAAGTTCTAGGCTACCGCTCCTAAACAGGACCTCAGCGAGAGGTTAGACCTCAGAAGGAAGACTTGGGGTTATGCTACAAAGACAGGGAGTTAGCAGTTGGATCACAAGAAAAAGGATTGAGGTCAGACTTAGATGAATGTTTACAAAGTCTGAGACTACACCATGTTAGGAGAGACAAAGTTTGGATGATAAGACAAAAGTCTGAGGTTAGACTAGAATGGAGGGTCACGGTGGGAAGGATATGAGTCGGGACTAACCTAAAGCATGGGCAATAGACTGGAGTTGGAAGGACAGATATCAAAGGAAATTTGGATGTTGTTTTGTGAAGTGCAGTAGAGCTGGTTCCAACTCACAGCAACCCTGTATGAGGTTCCCGAGGAGTGACTGGTGGGTTTGAACCACGGACCTTGTGGTCCAAACCGACCTTGAGGTGCAGTGCTTTATTCTACCACAAGTGCCACACGAGGGCTCTGGGAACTTGAGCAGAAGGGTGGAAATTTGGGTGGGGCATCAGGTTTGCAGAATCTCCATCCATGTCAGAGCTCACCCTGAGGGTCAGAGAGGCTGAACACAATCACTCGAGAGATGGGGCCGTCCTGCTGGATTGTCCACGTCTGCAAAACCTCTGTGAGGAGGGAGCAGAACTTAGACCCCGCCCCCAGCACAGGCCCTGCCCCTTTCCCAGCGCAGGCCCAGCCGCTTTTCCCCCTCACCTCGATTCTGCTGGTCCACGTGGGCAACACGAACGTAACCATTCTGACAGCCCAGGGCTGTGAGCCGCCGGGATGTACCAGGCAGGTTGTGGACATCAAGCCAGAGGGCGCTGGTGAGCAGGCGGAGGTGGTGGCCAGAGGGTCCTAGGTGCCTATACCCACGTCCCTAGGAACATCTACCCACTCCCTGGGGCCCCAACACTCCAATCCCTCATTGCTTTGAGGTAATGAATCTCTGCTGCCCAATTTCTCTGATGTAATTGGGACGAAATCCCCGCTGCCCAATTTCTCTAAGGTCATCCCCTCCACCTGTGGTCATTCTTACCCTTCCATCCCCACTCCCCAGCCCCCCTACTTTCTCAGCGGTGTCTTTTTTTTTGGGGGGGGGTGCTTTCCTGGTGCTTTCTTACCTACTGGTCAGATTCGTGAGCTCTGGGAAGAGATTTTCTACTGGCTGCTCCTCAAACTGATGCAGCCCCTCATTCTAGGGGAAACCAAGACCCGCGCCCCACATCTTGGGGTCAGCAGCCATACACACACACACACACAGGGTGACAGACAGACATCCAATCTCACCTCCCCCGGCTCACCTCCTTGTAGAGATGAATGGCTGGGTTGTTGCCACTCAGAAGAAACACAGTCTCCAGCTGGTCCCCAATCTGGACCCTGAAAGCAGAGAACCCTAGAATCCCAGTGTGGCAGCACCACGTACACAGTAGGATCGATGAGCTCTATTCAGTCAGACACAGGATCCAGCGATGGAGACTCAGGTTCTAGCTCATTAGTACAGGTAGTCCCAGACTTATCATAGGGTTTGGTTCTGATAACCCCATCGTATGTCTTATCTAACTAACCTAAATTTTAAGTTTTTATTATTATTGCCTATGTTGGTTAATGCGCTGGACTGCAAAGTCGGCTTGAACCACAAGGTCAGTGGTTCAAGCTCACCAGCCACTCCTCGGAAACCCTATACAGGGTCGCTACGGATCAGAACTGACTCAACGGCACTTCACAATAACAAATTACTATCAGTGGAGTCCTGTTGTATCACTATAGGATAGAGCACTGGACCACATGGTTGGCCTGAACTGCAAGGTTCAAACCCATCAGAAACTCATCAGAAACCCTATGCAGGGTCTCTAAGAGTTGGAACCAACTTGAAGACACTTAACAACAACAATAAAAATTTCAAAGATACTTAATAACAATTATTATCAGTATCTCTTTTAACGTCTGCTAATGAAGGCATCAGATTACATGCCGCAACATTGTATGCAATACATATTACTAAGGATAAGATGTACAAAACACAACAAAAAACCACGGTTACAAGTGCAGTTGGTTATAACTTGGAATAAGTCATAAATCAGAGACTACCTGTAGGCTCTTCTCATAAAACTGCAGAATTACACAAACTAAACATCCTAGAATCTCAGCATTGTGGAATTATACAATTGTCCAATCCAGGAATTTCAAAACGTTAGCATGCTGAAACTTTCCTGCCCTAGCTAGAATCTTTATTTGGGCTGTGGATTTGATAATGGAATCCAGAGCTCTAGAATGGGATGGCGGGACTTCAGAATGTCAGGTCCTCTTTAATCTTTATGGCCATTGTCAGCTACCGTAGAGTTGGACTCCACTTAGGGCAATCCCACCACACACAATAGAACAAAGAGCTCCTCAATCCAGTACCATCCCTGTGATCATTTGTGGAACAAGTTGTTGCGATTTATACGATTTTTACTGGCTGGGTCTCAGATGTAGGAGCATCAGGCCTTTCTTTCCAATCTGTCTCAGTCTGGACACTGCTGAAACCTGGTCAGCATACTAGCCACCTATAAGCCTCCAATGACAGCGGTACACTGACCAGGATTCAAACCCAGGCCTCCCCCACGGAAGGCAAGATTTCTACCACTAAGCCACCACTGCCTCTATTTTATAATCTGTTGTTTTGTTGTTAAGTACTGTCGAGTCAGTTCCGACTCATAGCAACCCTGTATAGGGTTTCCGAGGAGTAGCTGATGGGTTTGTACCACCAACCTTGGTAGGGCATCTAAATCCTAGAATCAAGAACACGAGTGCTTCAGAACCTTTCATTCCTAGAGCTTTCTTCCACTGTCTGTTGTAAATAACATTCTATTGGAACATGGTTCTGCCCGTTCACGTGCATGCTTACCAGTGGCTGCATTCTTGCTACAGTGACAGAACTCAATAGTTGTGACAGAGGCTGTATAACCCCCAAACCCTAATATTTACCATCTGGCTCTTTATAATGAAAAGTTTGTCAAGTCTTGAGCTAAACCATTAGTGTTCTGGAACCTCCAGACTTCAGAACGGAATCTGGGGCTCTAGAAGCAAAAGCTCACACTTTGGAATTCGAGAATGGTTTGTACTTTTCTACTCCTTCAAATATGAGGACCTTATCAGGCAGGGGCCCTGGTGGAACACAATTAGGGTTGGGTTGCTAACTGGAAGATCAGCAGTTCAAATCCATCAGCCACTCTGTGGGAGAAACCTGTGGCAGTCTGCTTCCATAATGGGTTATACTTGTTGCTGTTAAGTGCCGATGAGTCGATTCCGACCCATAGCGACCCTGTATAGGGTTTCCAAGGAGCAGCTGGTGTGCTTGAACCACTGACTCTGCAGTTCAAAGGACTTTGCAGTCTGACGCATTAGCCCACAGCGCCACACCAGAACTCCATAATGGGTAATACTTAGAGCCTGGGAAGACTAGAGAACGGTTCTACTCTGTTCTATAGGGTTGCTAGGAGTCAGGGTGGACTCAGTGGCAGCGGGTTTAGAATCTTATCATCACAGAATCTGGGTCATCAAACTACTGAATTGTCTAATCTCAGAACTTTCACCACTAGAAAATGTAGCACTTTGGGATTGATCATTTGAGACTCTAGAATGTTAAAACCCAAGGATTCTAGTCATGGAGAACACAAGTGTGAAAAGGCCCAAGACAGAATCAAGGACGACAAAAGCAGTGGTCCAGTGGTCAAGTATTGTTGTTACCGTCCATTCCTACTCATAGCGACCCGATGTGACAGAGATGAACTGCCCCGTAGCGTTTCCTAGGCTGTCATCTTTAAGGAAGCAAATCACCAGGCCTGGGGAGCAGCAGTGGACTTAACCTGTCCATCTTTCAATTAGCAGGGCTCTGGTAACATAGTGGTTACGAATCGGGCTGCAAACCACAAGGTCAGCAGTTCGAAACTACCAGCTGTTCCGCAGAAGAAAGATGAGGCTTTCTGGTACCGTAAAGATTTATAGCCTTGGAAACCCTGTGCAGGGTCGCTATGAGTCGGAATCGACTCCACGGCACACAGCCACCACCACCAAGCCTATGTTGCTTGAAAAACAGAAAGGGAACCTGAGTGTGTTTGGGCAGGATGGCTCCACGAGCCTACCAACATCTCTCTCCCTTTCCTGCTTCTACTCTCTAGCTTCTAAATGCATTTTCATTTTCAACCCTTAGCTACTCCCTCCATTTTCTCGACCGGGAATGTCTTGGTAAGGAAGGCACCGGAGAATCCATGGCTCCTTCTATTCTAGAGCTATGGGTGCTGGAGGAAACACTTACACGGCGTGGCACAGCTGGAAAGGGGTGAACTGAAGCTCCAGATTCAGGCAGCTCTCTGTGAGGGGAATGTAGGCGCTTGAGCAGAGAGGGGTCTTGGTAGGCACCCACCTCCCCTTTCCCTCCTCTTTCCCCTCCAGGCCACACTTACGGGCAATGGAATCAAGGTTGTACTCCGAGCCGGGTTCATAATCACAGTAAATGTTAAGAAAGGGGCTGCCCTTGTCCCCTGAATCCTGAGGGAAGAGATAGGCTTCAGGGTAGGGTAGGGTGGCAGGAGCAACTTGGGTCAGCCTCCAAAAGTCCGACAGACATCTAGGAAAGGGGTGCAGGTCAGTGCAGGGGACCCTAGTACCTTGATGAATGTGATCCCCACGACCAGGCCCCGCTTTGGGGGTGACTTGTTGAAGGTGTCGATGGAGACAATCTCCGCGTCCACTGGGAGGGGACAGTTCAAAGTGTGTATGTCAGGAAGACTCTTGATCCCCAAGCACCCCCAATCACCATGACAACTGGCCTCTAAGCAAAACACCAAACCACTATCTTCGAGTGGATTCTGACTCACAGTAATCCTGTAGAAGGTTTCTGAGACTGTAAATCTTTATGGGAGCAGAAAGCCTTGTGTTTCTCCAGGAGAGCAGCTGGTGGGTTTGGACGGCAGACCATGTGATTAGCAGTTCAGTGTTTACCCTATGCTGCTGTTAAGTGCCGTCGAGTCAGTTCCGACCCATAGCGACCCTGAACAGGGTTTCCGAGGCTGTAAATCTTTACGGGAGCAGAAAGCCTCATCTTTCTCCCGCGGAGCAGCTGGCAGTTTCGAACTGCTGACCTTGTGGTTCGCAGCCCGATTCGTAACCCTATAGCATCACTCTAATCTCTAAGATTTGGTCATCTCTGAACACGGCAATTATGATCTGATATGATCTGGGCTGAATCCTGATCATATTCACTACGACTCCTGACACCCTGGGTATGAGACAGTCCTGATATCTGAGTCTGTGTCATCCTAAAACCAAACTTCCAGGTCCCCGACTCCCCCACCCCCACCCCGTTATCCATCCCTGACTCCTGAATCCGATGCCTTCTGATTTTGACGACCCCCTTCAGTCACCCTGATTCCATCATCCCATGAAATTCAGCTCAGACAGAGCCTCAGAAGCCTTCTCAACACTACGCTCCAGGCCCGCCCCCAACCCCATGGCGCCACGCACCGGGAATATAGTTGAACTGCAGCTCCTTGGCCACGGGCCTGATTTTCTGTCGGAGGTCTTGATAGCGGAAGCCGAGCACCTTGCCTTTAAGGGTGGCTGCTAGCAACTCCCCGCGCCCGCTCGCACCGCCTGCCAGCCCGTACACGTTGCTTTGCGACGAGAAGCGCGTGAAGCTGTCCTCGCGCAAGGGGCAAGGCCCCGTCGCTAAAGCCGCTTCGCCCATCACGACCCTTAGCCACTCACTCTTTTTGTAGTGCCCGCAGTCGCCAAACCTACCCCACTCGCCGCTCCCAAAGTGACAGGGACAGCCGAGTGCCCGCCTATAACGCAGACTGATGACGCAAAGAAGCTGCCGGAGTTGCCCTTTACTAAAATGGCGGCCAGCTCCACAGCCATGGACTTCCAGGCTTTTTTTTTTTTTTTTTTCCCTTCCTCCCTACTGCGCCTGCGCATTTCTCCTTTTTCGCACCCGGGCCAAAAAGGAAGGAGAGTGTGGCCAAAAGGTGAAAGGGGATGTGTCCCAAGACTCCTTACTGTACGCTTTGTGGAAAGAATAGTAAGAATCATCATAGAATTTAGTATAGCACTCATGCTCTAAAAACTGTTTAAGCGTTTCCATTTGTCCATTCAAAATCCACAAGAAGGTTGAGATAGGGACTCTTCGTACACCCATTTTACAGTTGAAGGAACTGAGGCACAGAGAGGTAAAATCATTTATCACGATCACAAACAAGCAGAGCCATAATTGCAACCCAAACAAAATAGCTCAATAATTCATAATTTTAACCATATCACCTTTAAAATGGTGAAAATGCATTCCTTCTTCTATGGAAAATGGTTCAGCTGTCTATCTTGGCAGGTCCCAGCATAACACAATTTGCACTTGACTACACACCTAAGGAGCAGCCAGAGTGCTGCTTGGAGGCCAGGATAACCAAGCTTCATCCCTCATACTTGGGACATATTGTCAGGATGGACCAGTCGCTGTAGAAGGATATCATGCTGGGTAAGGTGGAGGGTCAGAGGAAAAGAGGAAGACCCCCAACGAGATGGATTAGCCAAGTGGCAGCATCGATGGACTCAAGCGTGGCAACAATAGTGAGGTTGGCCCAGGATCGGGCAGTGTTTCGTTCTG